GAGAAGAGCCTGACGATACGAGACCGATCGCGAATTATGTACGCGTCGCTCTTTTGAGCTGACCGTCTCTTTAAATATTTAAAAAGAAATGTCACGCAAAGTAAACTAAATAAAGTAATGTTGCACACCGAAATACTTCAACAAATTTTGATTAACAAGTTTGATATTAATTATATAATTAAAAATATTTGATTAAAATAAATAAGTGTTAAATACGGACTTACCTTACAAGTGAATTGTCGGAAAAAAGTTTGCGATTTGGAAGAATATAACAACAAATTTTTTATTTATTATTATATGATGTAAAATCCGTTTATTATATAATGTTGCATTATACAAGCCCGGATATAACTGCGTGCCGAAACACTGCGTGTATTATACAATTAATTATATATAAAGGTGACCAATTGGATAGCTCGTTCATTAAAATCATACACTGAAAAAAAATTGAATATTTGAATAAAAGATTGAATCAAGCCCAAGAGTTAAATAGAATTTAGTTGCACTAACTGCAATCGAGTCAGATCAACAAACAAGATATTAGAAAAACAAGAAATTCTGTTCAAAGAAATAGGACTGTTTTTTCGCAAGAACAATTCGAATTGTTTCAACTGATTCTTTTTCCAATAAACGTGAAAAAAATATTTTTGCAAACAACTTTTTTACAATTTGTTTACTACAATTACTTACGTGTAAATATGTACAAGTTTATCTTAAAATATACTAGAATTATTCGCAAATATATATGTATTATATATAAATGCATTTATATTATATACTATTTAAGACAATTTTTAAGCAGTAAAGCATTGTGATCCATAAGTGCGTTCGTTTTTAACGAATAAATCTTTATTTAATTACGGGACTTCTTAGAAGTCGGTGCGCGACTTATCACTATACATATGATAAAGGGTATTTCATTTCCAGCATCGATTAACTTTAACCGACGCTGAAAGTAATCACCTTTAATGTGAATTATATTCTATCATAAATATGCATCACTGTGAAAAAGCTTTGAGCTATCTATAAAAGATTGTAAAATATTTACACGCAGTTGCATATTACGCATATAAATTATCTAATGTACAATTTATAAATAAAAAATCTTGTCTCACAAAAATTTCATATAAGGTAACATATTTTACACTTATTTTAGTTAAAATTATTGCAACCCAATGTTGGATAATTTATTAATTTTTACAAATTTTTACTTTATAAATATATATAATCCGTCACAATTTACAAGATTTCTCGTCGCTGAGAAAATTTATTGAAATTTTCAAACTTTTTGATGAAAATAAAAATATCTACATTTTTAATAACAGAGTAACAATTTAACAATAAAAGTTAAGAAAAGTAACATCTCACACAGAAAAAAGTTTTTCTGACACGCGTGTAAATATTTTATTATTTGCACCCAATTTTGAATTAAGATTGCACGACACGTTTTGTGCCGCGTAGGTCACCGATAGCTGAACTCACCATTCAATTCGTACGTCATATGTTACATTTCCTTTTTGATAATTTTTATAAATATATAATAAATTTCTTATAAATATATAATAAAATTTTTACAATACAAATAAAAGACGGCACCCGGCACAGAACGTGTTAAAGAAGGCAATCGATAACAATAACAATGAAGCGATTTCTGAAGCTTTCTCTTTCACGATAATACCTTATTTTAATTGTGTAATCAATTCATTTTTGTGACTCTTCACAAGAAAATTAATTGATTCATTGAACTCTTCCGCAAACCTGAGAATCTATGCCGCCCAAGTATGGATATCCGCTCTTCGCCTCGCTGGGGCTGTGCGGTGTCACATGAGGAGTCATTCCCGTCGACCCCGACACGGCGGCTGCGCTTCCTTGCACCATGCAAGCACTCATGTTGGAGGCAGTCGGGCTGACGCTGCTGCCCAGACTGCCCAAATTAAGATTGGTGGATGTCAGATTGGAGGCAAGGTTGCTGCTGCCATAAGGGGAGGCATTGAACAATCTGTAACATAAAACGTCGAACGTCTGTATATAAGGAAATAAATCGCGATATAAAAAAGAGAAAGAAAAATGAAATTTACTCGGATTTCCAGTTATTTGATTTTAATTGCGACACAAGTATTACGTTATTTGCTTTTATGACAATAATGTTTTTAATAATTCACTCTTAATAAATAATGCGCGTAAATTATGATGCAGAACTTTTGCATACTTTTTTATTCCGTATTGTATAACAAAGTATATATATATAATATATACTTACATAATAAAGTAAAATAAGACTTATTAAAATTATAGCTTTCTTTATCTGAACAATTACATAAGCGATAAAAATATGATTAGAATTTTATTAATAATATAACACTCGACATTTAATTTTAATTTTTTTTTAAATCTAAGAAAAATTCCTTATCTAGAGAGATTTATCAAAGTTGTGAAACTGATGTACCACTTATTATGAATTATTATGAATATGATGTACCACTCGACAAACTTATTAAATATCGACGAACAAAAGAATATTCTCGTAAATTACAAATATTAATTAGCAGTTAAAGGAATATATTACTCGCCGATATTTGTAATTATCTTTCCCATCGATATGTTGAATATAAATTAACTATTGTATGCGCGCAGAGGAGAGTGTACGAATACGTGGGAGATGCAGTTTCACTGCGATACGATGAAACGAGTTGTAGTTACAATGGTGAAAGGTGTCCGCGCGCGATAATACGAAAATGAAATTCTGGCGTGTGTTTCTCAAAGTGGTTACCGCCGTTTGCAAGGCGATACCGCACTCACACACGCGCTGCGAATCGGTTAGGGCGTGTCGAGGGCGGCAGCGGTCGATCTCCAAACGCTGTCGCGGCCCTTTGAGCGTTTCAATACACCACCGTGATTAAGGATCTCAAAATGTGTCTCGTAAGGGGTAAAAGCTTCGTCCTTATTTTTAATATCACGAGCAATTTCTTAATAATTGTAGTCTAAAAAAATAATTATTCTAATATACATAATAGAAGTAATACGGAAAAAAAGCAAAGAACATTCTGTACGTTAAATTTTATTAGAAGAATAAATAAATGCTCGTAAACTTTCTGTGCGAATCTCTCAAACAATACTAAAATATATACACATCGCTAATTTTAGCGACAGTTTATACTAAAAATAGATTCGACAAAATAAAAAACTATAAATTTAATTATTAATTAAAATAAATTCGAGACTTGTGCACGTATCGATGTTTTGAGCGGATATTTAAAGCGTATCGGCAGCAGTTACGATTGTAAAGCGCAGTCGGCCCTTTGAGCGTTTCACCATGACGGTTAAGCACCCTAAATCCCGGTCGATGTCGGACCTAGTTCGCACTATAACTTTTTTCTCGTTTTTTCTTCTTTTTTGTTTAGAAGGCAACGCGACGTTTCTGGCAGAAGCCGTGCGATTTATCGCTCGTGCTCCGTGACCAGCCTACGAATCTATTTTCGTGCGGAAGAATGTCTCCCTCTCCGCCCTTCACAAATCAAATTTTTTCTATGGTCACGTTAACGAATTCCCGGGAATTTAGCGACGGTCGAAATTTACAGCTCGCAATTCGCCGGAATTAACAAACTCGGTCACGAAATAGAATGTGGAATTTACATTGAATGTTTTCTAGAGACAAACTGACTTCAAGTATTATGAGTGTTTGAAAAGTTTACAGAAGCATTAGATTCGTTCTACAAATTATCACGTTTTTAAAAATTCAGAATTATCTCCTCTTTTCCTCTAACAAAAATATTATTAACGTGACTTGAGTCTTCGCTTGTTATCGCACTGTTTAGACGTGAAATGATACTCTTTTACGTATTTAAACTTGTCTTCCGTCCGCTAAGAAGTGTATCATTAACTCATAATTGTTTTTCCCGAGACTTTATATAATGTCTGTGCTCAACGTAAAATAACACTTTCGAATGTCAAGACTCTTCTTCTTGCCGCTAAGAAATGCATCATTAACGTGACTCACAATCGTTCCGTGACACTCTGTAGTTTCTGCGCCGTCTAAATAGCAAAAACGGCGACAGCCATCGACAGCAGCGGCGAAATCGTTCGCTCGAGCACGAGAGAGTCGACCACGAAGAGAAGACCCCCCACGATATACGGCTGACGTTCCACCGGGGGTCGACGAGCATTATCCCGGATGTTTAAAACCGGTGAACGCGCCACGTGATGGCTCGGCACGGCGAAGCGGCGCGGACGATCGGGCGGTTGTGCAGACGCCCAAGCGAGATGGAAAGCTCGAAAACATCGCCGAGAAAGAGGCGCGCGCGGCAACGCGCGGAGATAAAGACGGCGTAGCTGGGGTGTTTCGAACAATTAATTCAGCCATTGTGGCGTAATAACAGGTTGCTCCGGTGGCCGGGTTGCTACAGTGTGTTGTTACACGCCGAGCGGACGAGCCGATTCACCCGAGCGGAGAGAGAGAGAGAGAGAGAGAAAGAGAAAGAGAAAACCGAAGGCGAGAGAGAAGGCAAGAGAAGAGAATGAAGAACGAGAAAGCGAGAGAAGGAGAGAGCGAAAGGCAAACGGGGCCCCGCCGACACGTTTTCTGTGTGGTCCTCAATTATGTTGCTTCTTGGGCCTCCGTAATGAAACGCTACCGGCTAATAATCCAACCTGGGTCTTGATCCTTCGGCGCAGGGTGTATGTACCTGCGCCGCCGTGATCCAGCTTTAACCGTTCGCGGCAGCGCCGCGAGATAACGGACGACCGAACGCGGATAATCGTCGCGGGGGTGTTTGCAGATGAGACACCGCGTTCGATTATATTTCTGCATGGTTTCGACTTATTTAAGCAATGAATAATTATTGAATTCTGTTGGTGTAAATAATAAAGATAAATATTATTTTAAATATTTTTGTCCGCGAAAAATGATCGCCAAGATTTGAGAATCGTAGAATTCCCATTAAAAAAAAGTTAAAAATAATACTCAAAAATGGTATGACTAAAAAATACATATTTAATAAAAATAAGGGATTCTATTAGTAAAAAAATTATGCATAGTGCACACATAAAAGAAAAATTACAGATATCCACGATGTTATTAAACGTTTTTGAACTCGTATAATCAACGCAACTCTCTCCTTCTCTCTTTCTAATCTAATCTAACAAAAAAGCAGGTTTTGACAAATAGAATATATTAGTTGCCGAAACTCACCCATAATTCTCCGAAGTCGCTCGCGGCCATTGCTGCTGCGCTGCATAATATGCATTTTCCCCGTAGTTGTAATGCTGAGAATAGCCGGCAGTGGTTGCCGCGGCGGCAACGCTCGCTTGCCCGTAGCCCTGATAGCTCTCAGCACCGCTGCCGTAGTGTTGGGTCTGGAAGGATTGTAAGCTCATGGTGTTGAAGGCGTTCAGTTGTTGACTGTTCAGCTGTTTGCGAAGCCTGGCGCGTCTGTTGCTGAACCAAACCTGTACTCGCGCTTCCGTCAATTTTGTCCTACAAAAAAGGCACCCAAGACTATTAAATATAAATAATGCAAATAACATATATGTAATAAATTTAGGGAATTACTGATTACATTAGTGAAGCACAAAAATATTTAGACATAAACAAATTGCTATCAAAACCTAAAAAAACTTTTCGAAGCCTTTCTATATTTTAAAATCCATCCTTTTACCTGCACAAATACTATGCACATTTATACGTGTCATGATAAAAGCATATGTATCGAGCATAGGCAGCTGCGGAACGCAAAGCACAGAAGATTCCTTTTTGCCGCATGCCGCTACGTCAATTTTTCGTCGAGTTATAACGTTTTAAAAATCCAGCGCGCGTGCACCGTTTGTGAGTGTGTGCGTTCGTACGTGTCGCGCGTGGCGCATGATATGTAAACATAACGTTACTACAATCAGCTGATCAGCTGACAGGTAGTGGGCTTTAAATAGGTCACTGACCTACATAGAATAGCGTGTCGTATTGTCGGTCAATTTCGGATCTAGATCGGGATCACTCGGGATGCAATCGACACGAGTCGATGAGATACGGTCAACAGTCGCAATTCGGCCGGCGCGCCGAATCATAAGTTAGGGTGGGGTATACTTATTCGCTGCTCTAAATTTAGGTTAGGGTGGAGTGTACGCGTTCGTTGCGCGCGACTTGATGACATCAATCAATCAAGTTGATGTAAGATACTACTGTTTTTCCCGATGCATCGTCGCTATTGCAATGAATGTGTTTCGAATATAGTTGCTTTGGAACTAAAGCGAGTATCTTTGAACGATAAATATAATACGCTTTCCACATAGTTAAGTTTAAAATTAAGTTTTATGCTTTTATTTAGCAAGCGTTCACAGCAATCTTTAAGATCTCGTAAAAGAAAGTTTTCTGCTTTAATGCAAGACACGTAACTTTTTTTTGCTTGTAACTGTTGCGTTAAGATTACACATATCATGTTTAAAGAATTTTTTAATATAAATATTTAAAAAATATATAAAATTGTTCATAAAGTATAAGATAATTCGGAAACTCACTTTTGCGCGAGCTCTTCTCTAGTATACACATCAGGATACTGCGTGCGATGAAAGGCGGCTTCCAGTTGTTCCAATTGTTCGCCGGTGAAGGTGGTCCTGCTTCTTCGTTGCTTCCTCTTCAACGCGATGCCAGGTTCGCTTTCCGTTTCAGAATCATCGCCGCTGCTTCCGGCTGAAAATAATCAACAAACATCTATTTAAATATTTAATTCCACAATTACATTATTTCAGCTAGATTTTACAATTTAAATTCATCCATTTTTGATGACTGAAATGTCTTAAACTGAAATAAGATCACGATAAATACATCTTTTTATTTTCTCGTCGTAAAAATGCGCGAAGAAAAAATTAAAACCGATGAAAACAGTTCTCTGTAACGGAACTCTCAAGCATTAAACATCGTCGATAGCTCTCGAGAAGAGAAAACGCGAGCGCGAGTTCCTTAATAGCGGCAAGAGAGCGTCCCTCGGTCCAGCACGTGCTGCACGTCAGATACCGAAGATAGGAAGCGAGTCGTTCACGCCCACAGTTCACACGCCGGTCTCGGCAACCCACCATTAAGACCCTTCTGATTACAGCCGTGCCCAGCCGAACCTATACTAAACTAAAACACCGGAGAAATTAGGGTCCGCCGCGAAGAAATTAAGTTCTTTGACATGTCCCGTCCCACCCGAGCTAAACGAAAGCCCGCGAAGCGGTTCCGAAGGGGAATCGTTGCACGCCTGGCCCCACGAGACACTATTTATGGAATTTCGAGTTTGATTTGTAACCCTTTTCAGGTCCAATTTGTTCTCCACGGTTTATCCTTGTTACGGTTGGTCCTCGTTACTCAATAACTACATCGGTAATACGTATTTCCTACTCACGAAACTTATTATGAATAATTTGAAGTATTTCAGATATATTAATTTTAATAGTTTAACTAATAATGTTTATTACTTAAACATCCAATGATTTTTTTTCTAAGAATATAATTTCAGCGATTACAAACTGGACATCTTTAGCTAACATACAATACAACGTAAATGTTTGGGCGTGTCAAGACAGCGTTCAGTTTTTCGTTTTTTGCAGTACTCTGTAATTTGTGAACTTATCCGGGAATATATTCCCGGATTAAGAGAGCCGATCGACCGACGGGAACGAACGTCTAAATCAATAGCACCTGCGCGAACATCGGCCGAAATTTGAAGTGCACGGCGATTGCCGCCAGATTAAAGACTGCCGCGCGCTCGTAAATCGTCGCAACGCTTTGAGCAGCATACCTAACCATTTTTCGATTTTAACGCTTTCCACGAGCTATCAGCGCTCTCTGATACTCCATGAATCTGGAGACCGAATATATACATCACAAAAAGCTTGTAATTACAGCTGCAGCTTTCATATCAACAACATAAATTTAAGATTATACTTTCCAATCGTCTCAAAAAACACTGTGCTTCGTATTATAATACAATCTATAAAAAAACTACCTTCATCTATTTCTCATAAAGATAAAAATAATTTTCAAAAATGGCATATAAGAATCATTCGTGATTGAAAGGCATTCGCGCGTGTTTGTGAAATTATTTACAATTCTTGGATCGAAAACGGTAATTGCGAAATGTTGAGATAAACATTGGCAAGACAGATCCGACGCTAAACAATTAGAGAGAAAGACGACCGGGCGATCACTGTCTCGGAAATCGCGGCGAAGGTCTCAATCACGCAGTCTGCCCTGCAGTAAGAGTATCTAAATCAATAGAGGATGCCGTTGCGTTCCGCGAATAAAACGGCTGGGCGCGGGGTGTGTTGTTGGCGGTTTGTAAGATTAGAGACAGGCAGAGGCGCGGCGGGTACACGAAGCCGGAGCAGGAGACCACACGCCGTGCGCCGCGCGTATATATGCGCGCGGTTTCACTCCGTCCTCCTCGCACCTTCCGAGGAACCACGGGTTTCCTCCTTGTCGTCGTGTCTTCCTTCTTCTTCAGGTTCGACCACTCGCCTCCACTTGGCCGTTCCACCTGATTTCTTCTTTCACGTTCGCCCGACTCCGTGGGTTCTACCTGACTTCTTCCCTCTTCAGCAACTCGCTATGCCGCGATCTCTCTGTCCCTCCTTCTCGCGTCCCGATCGTCTCCTCTCCGATTTCTTTTACGGAGAGACAGACCGCGGGGTTATTTATCGCGCGTGTTCTCAGCTACTGGAACCGCTGGATGATGTTGCGTTCTGATATTCAGGCGGAACTGGGGAGAAAGGTACACGGAAGATGAATGATGCAGGCCGAAATGATTGAAGTGTGTATTTGTGAGACCTTTCAAG